AGCAGTCACTTTTGTCGACACCTGATGAAATATGGATACATAAATAAAGATATTCAATAAGTCCAGAATATAAAAGAAGCGTTTATGCATGGATGTGGAACTATGTATAAAAAAACAAGTAAGAGGGTTAAAAAAAAAACGTTTCAGGACGAACATCATTGTTCTTACATATATATGAATATGAGTCAACTTTGACATCCACTATAGGTTTTTCACCATTGTAAACCGTATTTCTGTCACCTACGAAAAATTAGATCCTTCTCCAAACAGCATTCAACAGTTTAATGACATAGAGAGGTGAATTACCAACACCAATTCCCAGGAAGAGAGGACTCAAAGTCAATTAAGGCATGTATTTCTACAATGTTCAAATATCATGATTTTTTGTAACAAGCATGTCATCCTGGGATTTCTAAATTTTCAGTTTTTCGTAAGCAAAGATGTAAGAGAGTTGTGCACATGAAGTAATTGTAGGGCTGGAACATATTGGGCAAACCACACTTATGACACAAAAGATTGTGAAGCAAGCTTACCCCCGATTTTTGGAATTGTAACTAGAAAGGATCGAGAAAATCATCATCATCATCAGCAATCTCAGCATCAATGTGTCGCTCATCATTGTGCCCATCACCTATTGGATTGGCGGGACGTACAGGACGAACCTCATTGCGATTAATGTTGAGGTGTCGCATAACGATTTGCATTTGTTGTTTCAAGTCATGTATTTCTTCGTCCTTCCCAACAAGTATATTTTTCAGTTGGTTCAATTCTTGGGTCAATTGCTCGTCATGTCGTGTCCTCCTTCGACCAGCCGTAGTGGATGATGAAGTTGCAGCACGATTCATCATGAATACCCTTGACAAGGATCCCATCCCAAATATTTTTCCTTTTTTCATTCCACCCGTTGCCTCCACCCATAATGCCGTACTGTCAACTGATGGCTCAGACGCAGCAACACCATCACCACCACTAGCATTGCTCATTAAAAATTCATCATATTTTTCCTACATTAACAATATAGATGAAAATAAAATAACTTCATATATATAACTACCATATATATTAAAAGCATTCACGGTTTTCATTCTAGTTTCCATAAAGTCCAAAGTATAATCTTACATACCTTAACAACTTTTGCTCGATTGCCAATCCATGTCTTATCTTTTTTTTGAAATGTACGTTCAAATGTAGCTGCAAATGTCGGTTCCGTCCCCAATTCATGTGCCTACAAAATGTAAACATGAGTAATTGAATTAAATTAACTTATAACTTATTTAACAGACTTACCATTCGTTTTCGATGCTCCCCAATGTTGATAAAGCCCCCAGCATATGTGGCAGACCCTTCACTAGAACTAGAAGATCGATTCTTTTTATTCTGCTCACTGATTTTCTGACTCTGTTCAGTTTCCCAAATTCTGTTAATTTCCGTCCAATTGTTAACTATAATGAAAGCCGGCTTCACTTGCTTGCTCTTTGCTCTATTCATCACATTTCGTATGTGATCACTGACTTTCTTCTGAAAAATTCTTCTCACTTCATTCTCTTCCTCTTCATCCCACCTGAACTTCCGCTGCAATCAATACAAAAAAAACTAAAAGTTATTGCGATGGTCACATATCCATTACCATGCACCAGACAATTCGGCGATAGATTTTGTAAAGTTCATCTTGGGGAAAATATCTGGTCCCTTCAGTACCTAAATAAAGAGTTTGTTTCGGTACCTTTACATCATTCTTGACCAATAATATACTACACCAAACTTAGTTGGTGAGACAATAGAATATCTAAAACTTACCTTAAACTCATTCCACCACAAATTTTTCACTTCTTGTGGAGCACTTCTGTAATTAATATACTGCCCCATCCAATAGTTTTTGACTATTTTATTCAGTTCCCTCACAACAAACGGAGCATCCGTGAATCTGCAAACATACGGATATTGTGTAACATCGACAATTCAGTTGACATCCATATCTAAAACCATAAAATATTACATATACTAAAAAAAAATGAAGTACTTACGAATCTCCAAATGGGCATATCATGAATCGGTTATCTTCTTCACCTGTGTTTCCCTCATTATTCGATTGTTGCGCTGAATAATAAGGTGGAACGGAAGGAGAGGGAGCTAAAGGAGATGGAACTGGAGGAGATTCAGTTCGCATGTGGCCAAGTCCCCTAACATGTTCTTGAGTGTTAAAGGAAGGGCCAACGTGTCCATATTGTCCATCAGCATATAGTGGTTGAGGGTTAGATGAAAGGACAGGGGAAGAGGAAAGGGACGGGGACGAGGACGAGGAAGGGGCTGGTCTTCTATGCATGTGACCTCCACGTTTATACTGACAAGTAGGAAGGTTAGATAAATATGTAAAAAAATATAAACACGTATTACGGACACATAATGAGGTACATGACGAAGCTTACCATTTTTCCGTTTCAGAAGCAGAAAATGTTTTCTCTTAATTAACCAATGCCGAGTGTTTATAACGTGCAATTTCCTACGAACAAATATGTTAGTGGTCTGCCCTAGGAATCAATCAAGGTTGATACTCTAATATTAGTTGTGGATTAGGTTGTGTCGGAAAATCGACCTTCACTATACTTAGATAGTCATAATGTCTTGCTAGAGACCGCTTATGACTTGTGGGCCAAAAAGAGTTTTGAAAACACTGCTAATGTTTAGTGAACCTACAGGGTCGCACACAATAGCGAATGGACTTAATATTTTCTGTGCGTCTTGATCTACTTAAGAAGTAGATTTTAATTTATTCTCTTATTTAAATTATCTATGTGGTCGTGTGTGTTATGAGATAATGATTAAACATACGATTAAAGGTGGACGGTTTGGCGGGCCCAAATCGCCCGGTCCACTTCTTTTAATTCCGCTGGATAATGAGACTGTATAAATAGATAGAGAATCGTTCTCTGTCTAGGGTTTTTTCGATAGAGTATCGAAAATCAAAAGGCGTTCAAGAAAAGGAACTTCAAGATTTTTCGCTAGCACGTGGATCGTTGGAGAATTCCGTTCGTGTATGTGGATACCGATAGAGGCGCAACACTTGGGACGCTAATCCAGACACGATATGTTGTCGATTTATCTTTGATTTGCAAAAGGTACGTTTCGAAATTCCTTTTCGATTTCAATATACACATGGATCCTGTCTAGGGTTCTATATTCCGCTGCGTTATTTTTCGTTGATGAACCCTTCAGTGGTATCAGAGCTGCTTGTGATATATTGAAGTTGAATCGGAAACCCTAATTGTTGATACATATGATGTATGCCTGAAGTGAGTCTCAATTAGGGTTAGATGAATTTAAAATACGAATTGATATGATCAATTGAGAAGGAACGAAGCAGGGATGGATCAATCTTGTTCTGCTCGCGCCTGGGCTGTTGCCCAAGGCAGAGACGGCGTCGCGCCTGGGCTGTTGCCCGAGGCGAAGACGGCGGGCGGAGACGGCAGGCAGAGACAACGGCGCGTCTGGGCCTGTTGCCCGAGGCGGAGACGGCGGTCGGAGACGACGGCACGTCTGGGTCTGTTGCCCGAGGCGGAGACGGCAGCGCGACTGGTCATCCGGCACGTCAATGACTCGAGGCGTTCGGCCAGATGCGTACGGTGAGGGCGCGGGAGGTGGCAGCGACGGATAGTCTCCCGAGAACACAGAAGCGAGACCACCGCAAGGGGCTCTGCCCCTCGACCCCGTGAGGGGCGCTGCCCCCTTGACCCCTGCATGGAATTGGTCGTTCCCGTATGATTGATGTACCTTTGTTATTATAAGTGATGTTTCGTTTATGTTTAGAACATGCATGCATTCATCACTAAATAAACATTAAGAGTCCCCAATAAAATTAAGTAATAATATGATACATTTCCAATCATACACCTATTAAGACTCGAACCGTCAAAAGATGGGCCTGCCAAAGCAGGGTGTCTTTAACTATTTAAGTAAAATAGGATGGATAATGGTTATCCATATGTTAAGATTGGTTTACTTAACGAGGCTATCAAAACAGTTTTGGGCCTTGAGGCATAGTGTTTGGGGATAAGATATGAGATGTCAACCCCAACAACCAAGAATTGTATTTGATACAATTGACAAAGAGTTGTCTACCTAAATAACTTAGTCTTGAGCGGTAAGCCAAAGTTTACTCGAGTCTTGGTAAAATATGGATCTTGGATCACTATACTTATTGGGACATATATTATAAACGTATAGTGGGAGTTTATTATAAATAATATTAATGAACAATTCACTTTGCATATTTGTTGTAGATAATGGCAAATAGCTCTGCATCACACTTTTCACTGCGATCTGTCCTTGAGAAGGACAAATTGAATGGTTCAAACTTTTTGGACTGGTATAGAAGCTTGAGAATTGTTCTCAAGCAGGAGAAAAATGATTATGTCCTGAAGAAACCACTCCCTCAGAAGGCACCTCCTTCCAACGCTCCCCATGCTGAAAGGAATGCTTATCAGAAGCATAAAGATGATGCATCGGATGCATCATGTCTAATGTTAGCTACCATGAACTCAGACCTTCAGAAGCAGTTTGAGAACGTGGATGCTTATGATATGATCATGAACCTGAAAAATTTGTTTCAGGAGCAGGCATGCACTGAAAGGTACCAAATGGTAAAGACCTTAATTGAGTGCAAGCTAGCAAGTGGGAGCTCAGTTAGCCCACATGTCATAAAGATGATAGGTTATATTGAAAACCTGGAGCGACTGGGCTCTCCCATTAGCCAAGAGTTGGCTACTGACATTATTCTTCAGTCATTGCCTCAAGATTATGACATGTTTATTATGAACTATAACATGCATAATCTGAATAAGTCTTTGACTGAACTACATGGGATGCTCAAAACTACTGAGCAGAATATCAAGAAGGACCCTACCCCTAATGTTCTCATGGTTCAAAAGGGGAAAGGCTTTAAGAAGCCAGGTAAGGTCAAGGGTAAGGGCAAGGGTACTAAGCCCAAACTCAAATCCAAGACCAAACTGGGTTCGACTGCTGATGCTGTATGCTTCCATTGTGGTGAGAATGGACATTGGAAGAGGAATTGCAAGAAATATTTGGAGGATCTGAAGAAAAAGGGAAGTGAGACTTCCGATTCAGGTATTTATGTTATAGAAGTAAATGTTACTACTAGTTCTACTTCATGGGTATTGGATACCGGTTGTGGTACTCATATTTGTATGGATGTGCAGGGACTAAAACGAAGTAGAACACTTGCAAAAGGTGAAGTGGAACTACGAGTTGGAAATGGAGCAAGAGTTGCTGCATTAGCCGTAGGAACATATGATGTAGCTTTACCTTCTGGCATGATTTTAGAATTGAATAATTGCTACTATGTACCTGCTATACGCAGGAATATTATTTTTGTTTCTTGTTTGGACAAGGAAGGTTTCTATTTTGATATAAAGAACAATAGTTGTTCGTTTTATCTTAATGGATTATTTTATGGTAGCACCCATATTGTGGATGGGATATATGTTCTAAATCTTGATGTGCCAATCTATAATATAAATACAAAAAGGTTTAAATCTAATGATTTGAATCCAACCTGCCTATGGCATTGTCGATTAGGCCACATAAACGAGAAACGAATTCATAAGCTTCATAGCGATGGACTATTAAATTCATTTGATTTTGAATCATTTGATACATGTGAATCTTGTTTAGTTGGAAAAATGACAAAAGCTCCTTTTACTAATCAAAGTGAGAGGACAAAAGAATTATTGGCCCTTATACATACTGATGTGTATGGACCACTAAGTTCTACAGCCAGAGGAGATTATCAGTACTTCATTACATTTACTGATGATTTCAGTAGATATGGATATGTTTACTTGATGAAACATAAATCCGACTCCTTTGAAAAGTTCAAGGAATTTCAGAATGAAGTACAGAATCAACTTGGCAAGAATATCAAGGCTCTTCAATCTGATCGAGGAGGAGAATATTTAAGCCAAGAGTTCAATGACCATCTCAAAGAGTGTGGAATTGTTTCACAGCTCTCTCCTCCTGGAACTCCACAGTGGAATGGTGTCTCTGAGAGGAGAAATTGAACTTTGTTAGACATGGTTAGATCAATGATGAGTCATTCAGATCTTTCATTATCTTTCTGGGGATATGCACTCGAGACAGCTGCGTTTACACTAAATAGAAGTCCATCAAAAGCTGTAGAGAAGACACCATATGAGATGTGGACAGGAAAAGTTCCTAGTATGTCTTTTCTAAAGATTTGGGGTTGTGAAGCCTATGTAAAACGTTTATTTTCTGATAAGCTTGGACCCAAATCTGATAAATGCTTCTTTGTGGGATATCCTAAAGAAACGAAAGGATATTACTTTTACAATCCATCAGAGAACAAAGTGTTTGTTGCTCGAAATGGTGTCTTTTTAGAGAAAGAGTTTCTTACTAAAGGAACCAGTGGGAGTAAGGTAAACCTCGAAGAAGTTATTGTGCCACAAGAGGGTGTTCCAGTTCATGAGGAACCTCAATTAGATCTACAAAGAGTTGTAGAGTCTACTCCAGTGGCACCTATAGTTCGTAGGTCTGAAAGAACACATCGTGAGCCTATGAGATATGGTTTTCACGTGACAGAACATCGTCATCTATTGTTAATAGAAAATGACGAACCTACGACCTATACAGAAGCTATGATGGGCCCAGACTCCGATAAATGGCTTCAGGCCATGAAATCCGAAATGGACTCAATGTATCAAAACAAAGTTTGGACTTTGATTGATCCACCCGAAGGTGTCAAACCTATAGGGTGCAAGTGGGTTTTCAAGAAGAAAACTGATATGGATGGAAATGTTCACATCTATAAAGCACGGCTAGTAGCTAAAGGTTTCAAACAAACTCATGGTATTGACTATGACGAGACCTTTTCGCCAGTGGCCATGCTTAAGTCCATTCGGATTATCCTAGCATTTGCTGCATATTATGACTATGAGATATGACAAATGAATGTAAACACAGCTTTCCTTAACGGAAAACTAGAGGAGGATGTATACATGACACAACCTGAAGGCTTTACATCACCAGATAACACTGGGAAGATATGCAAGCTTCAACGTTCTATTTATGGATTGAAGCAGGCATCACGGAGCTAGAATATTCGTTTCGATGAAATTATCAAAGAGTTTGGCTTCATCAGAAACAAAGAAGAAGCTTGTGTATACAAGAAGTCTAGTGGGAGTGCAATTGTGTTTCTAGTGTTGTATGTGGATGACATACTACTCATTGGAAACGACATTCCTATGCTTCAGTCAGTTAAGACATCGCTAGGAAAATTTTTCTCCATGAAGGACATGGGAGAGGCAAACTATATCTTGGGGATCAGGATCTATAGAGATAGATCTAAGAGACTTATTGGACTGAGTCAAAGTATATATGTTGACAAAGTCATCAATAGGTTTAATATGCAAGACTCCAAGAAAGGTTTTCTCCCGATGACACATGGCATAAGTCTTAGCAAGACTTAGTGTCCTTCAACACAAGATGAGCGAGACCGCATGAGTAGGATTCCTTATGCATCAGCTGTGGGATCCATCATGTATGCTATGTTATGCACTCGTCCTGATGTTGCTTATGCATTGAGCATGACAAGTAGATACCAGTCAGATCCAAGGGAACCTCACTGGATTGCTGTCAAGAATATCCTTAAGTACTTGAGAAGAACTAAGGATTTATTCTTAGTCTATGGAGGTGAGGAGCAGATCACTGTAAATGGTTACACTGATGCTAGTTTCCAAACCGACAAAGACGACCTTCGATCGCAGTCAGGTTTTGTCTTTTGCGTGAATGGTGGAGCGGTGTGCTGGAAGAGTTCCAAGCAGGACACTCTTGCAGATTCTACGACAAAAGCTGAGTATATTGCTGCTTCAGAAGCATCAAAGGAAGCTGTTTGGATTCGAAAGTTCATAGAAGAACTGGGAATCAGTCCCACTAGTTCGATTCCAGTGGACCTCTATTGTGACAGCAATGGGGCCATAGCTTTGGGTAAAGAGCCTAGGTCTCACCAGAAGATCAAACACATACTCAGGAAGTATCATCTCATTCGAGAATTCATTGAAAGAGGTGATGTCAAGATGTGCAAAGTTGCAACGGAGTTGAATACAGCTGATCCGTTGACGAAGGCTCTTCCACAACCTAAGCATGAGCGTCATTGTAACGCTTTAGGCCTTAAACACATTAGTGATTGGTCTTGATTTGAGTGGGAGTATATGTGATATACATTTTCATTGTTCATTAATAAAATATATATATTATATTTGATTTCGATTTAATTTGAGTATATAGTTGAATGCGAAATCTTTATCCCCTGAATATTGAATATCCTTAATAGATAATCAAATACGTGATTTGATCATGAAACTCTATTAATAGAGTGGATATTAATATTCTAAATGTCCCTAGTCAATTGCCATTGTGCATTGGGAAGCAAATGGTGTTTGAGACTAGCATGTGAGTCAACTGATGACCAAGTTTCACGGGTCATGAATATAGAGATATAAATTTGATCACATGGAATACATGTTGGAGAACATTGTATTGGACAGACGCACTATGAGAATACTGTAGGATTGTTATATAATGTCATCAGTATTTCTCATCACAACTATAGAGTATAGTCCTTTGACCTGAGTCTGCCATGGTTTCCTAGACGTGGATTGGCATTCTTCAACATTGCCAAACGTCAGCCGTAACAGGTGATTATAAAGGTAATGGCTGGGCATGTCATGAATCGTGCCGAGTGATGTGAGTAGACAAGATGGGATTTGTCCCTCTCATATAACAAGGGTATGATTTCCTGGCCTCCCGTAGAGTTGAGACTGTGAAATGCATGGCCATGCTCAAGTGAGTTGAAGAGTCAACTACTTGTTTTGACAGTCTAACTGCTGTATCGGGAAAATGAGTTTAAGCTATATAAGGATGACACTTGTCATGTCTTATGCTTAACTCGAAAATCAAGTGACAAAGGGACTTAGTTTATATGATTGGTTCTAGTGCAAGTGGGAGATTGTTAGTGGTCTGCCCTAGGAATCAATCAAGGTTGATACTCTAATATTAGTTGTGGATTAGGTTGTGTCGGAAAATCGACCTTCACTATACTTAGGTAGTCATAATGTCTTACTAGAGACCGCTTATGACTTATGGGCCAAAAAGAGTTTTGAGCACACTGCTAATATTTAGTGAACCTACAGGGTCGCACACAATAGCGAACGGACTTAATATTTTATGTGCGTCTTGATCTACTTAAGAAGTAGATTTTAATTTATTCTCTTATTTAAATTATCTATGCGGTCGTGCGCGTTATGAGATAATGATTAAATGTACGATTAAAGGTGGACAGTTTGGCGGGCCAAATTGCCCGGCCCACTTCTTTTAATTCCACTGGATAATGAGGCTGTATAAATAGATAGAGAATTGTTCTCTGTCTAGGGTTTTTTCGATAGAGTATCGAAAATCAAAAGGCGTTCAAGAAAAGGAACTTCAAGATCTTTCGCTAGCACGTGGATCGTTGGAGAATTCCGTTTGTGTGTGTGGATACCGGTAGAGACGCAATACTTGGGGCGCTAATCCAGACACAATCGGTTGTCGATTTATCTAGGTTCTATATTCCGCTGCGTTATTTTTCGTTGATGAACCCTTATACTATGAATCGCATTCATTTTTATATCAAACATCAATATATGAGCACGATATGCCATGCTAAGCCGACAATAGCCATAATTAACCACACGATCCACTTTCAAACCACACGATAATTCATCAACTACAAGATCAACCATGAAACATCAATTTCAGCCACATGATCTTCGTTCTCGGCGACACGATCATCAATCAACCCATACGATTAGGCCATAGTTAAACAATCAGCCACAATTAAGCAAATCACCGACACGATTAACCTAATTAACCATACGATTAGCATTAAACAACTAAGAGTGCGAATGGTAACCATTCTGCTCCAGAAATCAAATTGTTGCCAGAAATTGATTTTTCGCATTCTTGCCAGAAATTGACATCTGAAGAAGAAATCTGTTCGGTAAAACATGACTAATTCTGCGCCCGAAATTGATTTTCTGGAACAGAACTCTGTTTTGATTTGTTGAAATTTTTGCACTTAAAATTTTTTAATTTTACTCAAAGTGGGTGGCCACAGGTATTAAAAGCCGTTCTGTAAAGTTTTGAAATTTTGGATTTTTTAAAATTTTTTTTGGGCACGTAAAAAAAAATTTCTGCTTAAAAATGGGTGGCCACAAGTATTCTAAGCCATTTTGTGAAGTTTTGACATTGTTGAAATTTTTAATTTTTTTTGGGCACCTTAAAAAATTTAAATTTCACTCAAAGTGGGTGGCACAAGTATTCTAAGCCATTCTGTAAAGTTTTGAAAATTTTTAATTATTTTGGGCACCTAAAAAAATTTAA